AGATCCACACTAACTCATCTGGCTGGAACTTGGGTTTCCAAGGTGTAGGCTTCTGGACATTGGCTTCATCCCATAAAGGTTTAGCGGTGTTCAGCGAAATGAGAACATCATGATTTAATTTGGTCCAGTTCTTAAACGTCCCTTCTCCTCTGAGGCGAAGTTGTTCTTTATATAGGCCTATGTGTCTTTCCACAACGCCGTTGGACTGCGGGTCGTATGGCAGATGAAGATGACATACTACGTTGTGAAGACGAGCAAATTTGTCCAGAACATTAGAGTTGCACGGAGGTTCTCCGTCAGACTGAATCTCGTGAGGTGGTTGCCAGGTGGCAAATATAGCAGTTAAGGCCGCAATCACAGCAGTGGCATTGCTCTTCCATAAGGGAATAACCTGTAACTGTCTTGTTCCCAAGTCCACAACAACTAGACCTTTATTTGGCGGTTTAGACCCTGGGAGGGGTCCTAGCAGATCTACCTACCAAACTTTTTTTGTCTGAAACTGTGAAGAGTCGAAAGCTCCGATCTGATGCTTGGTTTTATGACACTTTTCTTTAGCACAGATCTCACAAGCCTGAGCTACCTTTTCTCAATCGCGCTGAGCTCTGTATGAAGCCAGCTCCATAATGGTTTGGGACCAACGCTGGTGGCAAACTCGTGGTCCCGGGTGACCCCAATTTTCATGAAGCCACGCGAGAAACGGATTTACCTCAGGACCGGAGGTAGACATGACAGGCAAGAGTATGTCAGTCCGGAGTGGATCTTCTAAAAGCTTATCAATGACCTGATGTATTGAATCAGTATCCGGACGGTGGGATTTAGTATGCTTGACTAACGGGAGGCGTATAAATTTAGTCAACATCTTTCATATGTCTTGTCAATCATTTAAATTTTCAGTGGGAAAGGCTGTATCAGTAAGAATTTTATAGATGTACTGTGAATCAATGGCGATGATTGGAACAGGGAGCGTATCGTCATGATATGCCAGACAATGCTCTAGTACCTTTAGGAACCCTAATAGTTCACATTTTTGGGACGAATTATCATCTGGATCGGCTTGGAATATTTTTTTATCATGACAAGCCTTGCAATATTATCCATAGCCTCCATTATGTCGGGAGGTTTCGTCTGAGGCCATCCACGCTGGTGCAGAAGTTCCATACAGTGTAGGAACCTTTTTCTCATCTTCTGGGCTTGGATCAGGTACCGTGTCTTCCAACTTTTAGCAATGCCAATTATAATGGTGGGTAAGCACTAGCATATCTCAAGTCTTAAATTCGCCTTGAAAATGTGGGTCGATTCTTTCTGCATCCAGCAAGGGTAACAATGTGGCACCAGGAGCGTGTAACGTCCCATGCCCCCTTGCTAATGGCTCCACCAGTTGTTTGGCTAGGAGAATTTTTTTTATGGTCCCATATCGATGTTGTGCCGCTTGAAGCGTCTTGTGGGCCATGTATACTAGCTCGTCGTGAGTGTTGTGCACGACAGCCCACACGTGATTCGTGGTGAACCCAAGGGTTACGGTTAGTGACTCACTCAGATCTATGGCATGGAGCTGTGTATCTTTAACCGTAGTTAGCAAATGAAGCAGATTTTGTTGATCTTTTTCCGTCCAGGGCGTGGACTTTTGGGATTTATCACGGATCTGCCGCTGCAATTTAGTGAGGAGTGCCAAATCACTGGGTTCAACATAATGCCGGTACCAATTTAAATGGCCCAAAAGCTGTTGGAAGTGCCTCTTAGTGACAGGGTGGAATGTTTTTAACGGATCGATGTCAGGACCCTCATGCGAAACTCCGTGGCCGGACCCATGTCAGGACCCTCATGCGAAATTCCGTGGTGGATGGAACCGATGTATCGAGTACCCAGAAAAGTAATGTCATCTACAGGATTCAAACACGACTTTTTTTTGTTGATTGTCCATCCCTCACTCTGGAAGTGAGCGACCAGTTGGTTAATTACACCGGCGACTACGGTACTATCACGACCCATAATGGCGACATCATCGACATAACTCCAAATCTTTAATTCTTTTTGGGGGGGAAGAGAGTGTAAGGCCTGAAATTTTTTTAGGGTGTTATTCATGGCACCAGTGGCTAATGACGGAGCGTTGCGATATCCCTGTGGACAGACTGTCCACCTGTACATGATGCCATCAATACACATATT